ATCCCATCCTTCCTTCGAGGTCTTTGCTCACACTCACAAGCAACCTGAATTTAGTCTTTTCTTAAATTGGGAGTTCTCACCTTTGCAATCATCTTTTGTTAGTTTTTTTGTGTGAGATCTGTTAATCACACGCCAGTTTGCTGGCCTCTACCTAGCCACGACCAGCACCGCTTGCTGCAGAACAGACAGGTGAAGGACCAGAGATTTCCAACACGTCCGTCACTTCTGCTTTTAACCATCGCAGACCCCTGCAGCTATGCACAGAGCTGCCCTATATAAAGGTGTGAACTTATCACCTCTGCTTGCATCCTCCTTTCCCACCTCCCGCCTCCTCCCCTTTGCTCCGCCAACGATCCTGTCCTGGCCCCCTTCATGCTGCTGCTCTCCCTGTGAACACGAGAACAGAGCGGAAAACAAAAGAATATACCCAGATCATCCCTGAGGAAACAGGGGAAAAAAAAAGAAAATGCTCTTCAACATTTTGTTCTTGGTTTAGCACGTCGTGCTTCTCTCCCTTTGATGCTCTTCCTTGATCCAAATTGGGCTTTTGCTTCCTTCAAAGTTTTCCTTTAAAAGACAAGGTCCCATGATGGTACACCTCACCCTCACCCCTTCCCCATCACCTTTCTTCTCTACAGCCCTTCGATATGTGGTGCAGAAAGCAAACAGCTTGTCAGGTGGTGTTATGGTTCGAGCGAAAAACAAAAGAAAAAACCTGTCATGCTGCTAATGGTGTTTTCTTGTTATTATGCCTGCTGGTGTGATAGATCCACAGGGTAACTAACACTGTCTGGATCGCTTCCTTTTTAGTGCTGATTTATTTTAACAGGTTATTCGCTGCCTTTTTGTCTAGGACAACTGTAGGGATGTGCAACATGTTTATCCTCCATCCTCACTGTACTTGGGCACTGTCTCCTTAGCAGCCCTGGACACCCTGGTAGTCTCTACCAATCTGTAGAGCCTCCCCCAGCTCTAGGAAGACCTGCAATCGCTCTCTGCTCCACGTTGAGCTTAAGTTATGGCCCTTTAATAACTCAAAGGCAGAGAAAAAAAAAAAGCAGGACATTTTCCCCACTCCCTTTTTAATGAAGCAAAGGCTCCTCTGCTCCCCTTGCTGCACTCCACGCCAGCAAACAAGCAACAGATGCAAGTGACTCACTTTGTACCTGAGCTTTTGATCTGGCTGTGCTTTGATTTTCCATGCTTGCTTTTGACAAGGAAGGGAATGAGAGTCCCGTTTCTGTGGCATTAAGAGCGGCTTCTCTGCAGTGTAACTTATTTGTGCTTTACTGATAACTTCCTGCTGCTCAGGGGGGATTCCCGGGTGAGAGCTGGACAGTGCAGTAAGTCAGGGCTTGCCTTGCTGCAAAACAGCTGGCTGCAAAACATTTCACATGGGCCTGGGCTGGCGCGGGCTGCTGCTCCTGCCCATGTTTTTTGCCAGCGTGGCAAGCCAGGACTGCGAGGAGCACGTACGCACCCACGTGTGGGCAAGGGAACACACTGCAGGACCCCCAATGCCCTGAAGGACACGTGTTAGAGAAGGTCATTTTAGAGAACTGGCATCAGGGAAGGGCACGGTTATTTTAAGGCCTTTCAGGCAGCCAGTAAGAGCAAGGGAAAACCATCTCTAGGAGGCTTAAATACAAAAGAGTGCTAAAAAGGGCAAGCCAAAGACAGCAGAGGCGGGAAAGAGCAATGTTTCTCTGCAATAGCTCCCTCTTGCTTGGCGTTCCTCAGAGATCTTGCTGAAGAATACAGCGGACAAAAGCTTTTGTAGCCATTTGAATGAAAATCAGCTGTAAAAGGCACAACTTGGTATTTAGGTTCCCACAAGGACACAGCACATACTATTTCCGAGGTCCAGGGAGCCTCCTCTGCGTCTGCAGGGCAGGACGGGCTCATGCAGGTGCTGAGCTCCTCACCGTGCTCGTGGTGGCACCAAAGTGGCGGCAGTAGAGGCCAAACTGCAGCACCACAACACGGTGCCTTTGTGATTCCAGGGTGGCCTCTGGGGTTTGGGACCACTGACGTGTGAGGTGAAGGTACCGCTCGGCAGGAAGACGTGGTGCAAACCTGAGAGAGCGTCCTCGTTGCTCCACAATGTTGGTGGGATGTTTGGCACACCACTGGTTTCCCTTCCAGCCGAGAAAATTTACATGGTTGTTCTTGGAAAATTAAGCTAAACGTGACATTAAGAGTCTAGAAAATTAGTCCTGGAGACAAGGAAATGGAGAGAATTCTGAGTAGCAACTAAGCCTGCATTGATTTTTATGTGCATGTTTCTCTATCATTGTTACTAAGCTGGTGACACTGTGAAGGGCACAATTATTTATGTTCCATCAAATTAGTGAGTAATTCAAATCCCTGACGAAATCTCAAGCAAAAATTGCTTTCCCTGCCACAGAAAGTCTTTCTGACATTTAAATTGTACACTTACCCCTGGAAGGGTATTTAAAAAAATAGAAGAACTTCACAGAAAAAGACAGACTATATAAGAAAAGGGAGAAACCACATCGCTTCTCTTCAGTACCATCCCTATACATGACTAAGAATTAACTACGCAAAGAAACTCTGTGGTTGGATGGAGAGAGACAGAAAGGAGGAGGAAATATCACTTAAATAAGCATGTTGGGATGAGGGACATGCCCGGAGTGGAGCCCAGAGGCTGGTACCTACAAACACGGTCCAATTTCAAAGCAATGTGGCCACCTCAGCATTACGCACTCCTGATTTCTGCACCACAGGCGTGTGCCTCTCTACTAAGTATCTGCAAATAACATGGGCACAGAAATGCCACATACAAAGAAACTTAAGGTTTCTATTTTGCCCTTCTCCATTCTCTTCTCTTAGGCTAGACCCTGGCACAACATACTCCTCTCCCTTCCCTCTCGACCACGCTGTCCAAAAGCCACAAGACTTTTCCACTGTATTTCAGCCAAAAGTCCATGCTCGCTTGGCATCCCTCTCAAATGCAGCCAAACGGCTGTCGGGAAGGGCCTTTTCAGGCAGATTCCTAAAACTGCTCACAAGAGATGCAAGAAAGCTACATGAAGAAAAGAAAGAAGGAAGAAAAACTGGCTGGAATGAAAAACTCATGTCTTCACTATTAGGCTACATCATAACATTTAAAAAAGAGATACAATATTAGAATTTTTCACTGAAGCATTCCATCAATATTTAAACTAAAGAGAAGAACTTCTTTGAACAAGTACTTTGTAGGAGGAAATTCCCTTATTTAACACACCAAAAAAAGCTGTAGAAAAGGGCCTTTAATCAGGCCCTTTGAAACAGGAAGGAAAGCAAGATTTTCCTCTTTTTCTTCCTTAATGTTTTTAAAAGGAAACAAGCTATTGAAATATATCAAGCGATTTCCTTCACTTGAAACACTAGTAGCCTTCAGTGCATTGTGAGCAAAACAAAAATAAACGCCTTTTATCCACCCAGATTTCACTGCGGGGAGGCAGCTCCAAGACGGACTAATCATTGCATGGGCAGGGAATCACAGTCTTGGGATCGTGTCGCATCCTCCCCAAAGAATTATTTGGGGAATGGAATAATCTTCCTAGGCACCGGGGGGATTACACACGAGCAGCTATTTCAGCTGCTGCAGCGAGAAGCTAGAAAGGGAGCAGGAAAAAAAAGGGAGAGCTGGATAAGCAACCATAGACCTTGCAGGGGGTAGAGTGCCTTGAAATAGGAGGCAGGTAGAAAAGAAATGTAAAAGAAATATTTTGATCCAGTTAAACGGCAGCTTGGCTTCAGCGTCAAATTACTCAACCACCGAAAAATCCTTGCAGCCCGTCTCGTCCTCGCTTTATTTTTGCTAGCCTGTTCTGCTACCCAGTGGGAGCCAGATAATAACATCTATTTTTGTGGAAAACAACATAGCTTTTCAGCTCAGTGTGTTGTTTTTATTTCACAGCAGAACACCGCAATTTATAAACAGCAAAACCTATGGAAAATTCACTAAATGAAGGACTTTACGGCGTGCTATCATTTAACCCCTATTTTTCATTTTCATTGGATTTATTGGTGTTCCCAGCTACAACGTTAAATGGCTCTGGAAGTACAGTAATTAATCCAAAATCCTATTTGTTTTAATCTAACACTGTCAACTAGTTTTAGGTTTGCTGTTAGGAGAAAAAAAAATGTTTGTTAAGCTCTACAGCACTAGCTAATGTCTAAAGACAATCCTCCGAAAAGGTGCAAAGATGTTTTATCACAGCACTGTAGATAGATGGGACGGAGATTTATTATGGTACCTAGCACCATTCCAGCAGATGCCTTTTGAATTATAATGAGATTATTAAAACTTTACAAATCATTATATTAAAATCTGACAAGAGTACTTTTGGAACCGGAGCATCTTGATGTCATTGCTAATGATGCATTACCCATGATAAGGCTTCAGGAAAATTCCTAACTAAAAACTGGTTATAAAATTATAAAATATATTAATATTTATTTCAGTACCTGCTATAAGTTCAAGGATAATAGGTTTATATGCATCAGAACAGCCGAATGATCATATTTATGTCAGCATTAGAAAGATGTTCATCTGCTGCATACTTTAATTAATTTTCACAGATAGTTAATTTTCTGTTTCATTATCAGCTCCCTAAATTTGAAAGACAAATAATTTATAAACAAATAGAAACTTCAGAGAGGAGTGTTTTTAGAGCAAACAGAAGACAGATAGCAGGAGCAAAGCATCCGCGCTACCTTCGAGTACTAATACGAATGATAGATCGTCCTCGGTTTTGATGGATAACTTACGCATTCCGGAGCACTGACTGAAAAGAAACAAATTGTTTAGCGTTAACCCCCACCCGTTTTCAGGTAACAAACGACTCGGATCTTTACCAGTCAAATAATGCCCTTAACCCCCTTAAGCATGAGGAATGCCCGACGTGTCCTTCCGGGGTGACCGATCCCTTAAGGACGAGACTCCGGCCCTTCTCCCCTTCCCGCAAGAACAAAGTTTAAGGGCTACTTACCGTGATGTACGACGCCCTTCAACCCATGGATAATGGGATCCAGCGCGGAATTGTCCCTCTGGCTGACCTACATGCAAAGGATACGGCATTGGTTACATCCACGCTGGCATCGGACAGAACTGGCTCAGTTTAATTTTCTAACAGGGGAAGAAATTACGTTAGCAAATGCACGGCCGGGCTCTCGCGCTTGCAAGGGCTCTTCACCAAGCGCCAAAGATACGTGGGGCAATAAAACTATCTGAGGACAGTTAAAACAAAAGAAAGCGTCCTCAGGATTCATTAAAACATCCGCAATATGAGTACCCCAGAGAAGACTATAAACTCTGAGCTGATTTTTCCCCAATTGCTTCTGCTTTCACCAAGAAGCGCTGCAACAAGCAGAAGGTACCATGGAAGGGCCTGTCCCTTCCTCACACCGGTATAAACCTGGGCCTGCCACGGAAATCGGGAAAGCTGGTGCCCTGTCCACCATGGAGGTAGATCTTGGCATCACTTTGGTTTTCTTTTTTTTTTTTACCTTTCTCTTCTCCCGAGGTATCAAAGGGCTACCTCACAATTTCCGTGAATACGTCCCATTATTTAAGACACCTGCCAACTTGCTTTTGGGAAATGAATACTGCCATGCACCTCATTCACACAATGCCATATTTCCCCCCAACAACAGAAATCTCAGCAGTGTCAACAGTGTTTTTGGATATAGGGCTCCCAGCGGTGAAAGGCATCAAATGAAGGTGCCGAAAAAATGGAGCTAAGGCTAATCTCAGGCATGGCCCTTGATACTGTTTGGTCATTTCTGTATTATCAATTACAGCTCTTTCTTTCAGAAACCTTTTCAGCAGTTTTCTTTGCTGAGGAATTTTTACAGAAAGCACACACACAAAAAGCAGGAGTAAGGGGATATTACCACAAAAATCACAAATATCAGCAACCTGTTGGAGGAGAAAGGCAGATTCCCACGGCTCCAGTCCCACAGGCCCCAGCCTGCCTCTTCCCTGGCTTCTTCCCCATCATTAGCACAGGAATCTTAGAAAACTCACTACTTTTTAAGCTAACTGCATTGCAATACTTTTTTTTTTTCTCCTGTTTATTTGTCTTTTGGCCTTTGAACTACTGCGCAGTGCTCAGGACCCATTTTAAGCTCTCTTCCATAGCGGGAAAAAAAAAAAGAAAAAGGGTTGTTTTGCTTTGGTGTTTTAAGTGGAAATGAAAGATCCTGTTCTCATCAGAGCACTCCAGGACTCGCTACTATCAGGTAGGGCAAGATTTGCAAGAAAATTACGAACATGGCAAGAGCTGCTTTGAAATATATACAGCTTAGATGTTTCTGGCAATAACATTATTAGGCCTGAAGGCTGCGAGTTCTTTGAAGCATGAACTTTTATATGCCCAAAGGGGTGCTCTGTACACTTTGGGCTCTGTATAAATAATAATCACAGCACACTGAACCCAATGACCCACTTTGTAGGTTCTGTCTGGCTTCTGGCAAATCAGCAGTAAACACTTCAAAAAATGCAGAGCTATTGGAAGACATGTTCCTGCATCTTTTCCATTTATTTAGGTTTCTCCAAGCCATGGATACCACTAAAAAAAATCATTAAACAGCTACCAACAATTTAGTACATAACTGGAAGAAAAACTTCCTCTAGACTTGAAGCATGTTTTATTCGTAGTTACTTAACCATAAGTTGTAGAGAGTTTAATTTTGTTCGCTTTGTTTTTATTTCTAATGACAGCCACAACCAGTCTCAGGGAAGTAAATACCTGGAAAGAATCCTAAAGGTTAAAAACCTTCCTTTTGGGATTTTCTGCCAAGATAGATCCATTCTTAGCCTATCAGGCTAGGCAGTGGCCCTTTGCTGCACCGAGGTGCTGTATCTCCCACAGATCCAGCTAAGCAAGTATTGTGAGAAGGCGTTCAGCAAACGCAGTGTTCTTCAATAGCGTGAAATCAAAAGCCATGTTCTGTCCTTGGAGGTAGCAACAGGAACGCGCTGTGCAGCTGTAGTCACATCTGCTCCAAGGGCAGCCAGAGTGGGATCTCATGCTTCTCTCAAAAACACACACAAACAAGTAGCACTTGGGGAGATTTCAGTTACCTCCTGATTGGGATATAGTCTTATTTTCCCTCTAGATGTTTTTCTTTTTTCTCCTTACACTCACATATGTTTCTCCCACATCTCAGTACACCCATTTCAGGATCTTGGTAAGACCACAAGAAAAGTGCCCCAAAGTTTTCTCATTTTGTGTAACAGCTCTGGCTTCAGAGAAAAACTTTTATCTTTCTTTTTCCTTTAAGTTCTTAAAAAAATCCATCCGTGAATTTCTTTTCTATCTTTCTGCACTTGTCTGTATCCTTTTGCTGTCTGTGTTCATAGACAAGAGAAGGTTTCTGAAACTCCAAATGTCAAGTCCTATCTCTACTGCTTTATGCCTGTGGTTTAACTGGCCTAGAGCTACCGTGCTGGCGCAGATCAGAGATTCACCCGCACAAGAATCCTGTCTCTGACAACAGCTGATACTTAAAAGAAGCGGGAAGTGGGGAGAGGAAAGGAAAAAAAGGACAACATCTCTAGAATAAAAAGCGTCCTTCTGATCTCCTTATGATTTTGTGCCATAAAGCTTGAGGTTGTATCCCTTTACAAACTGTTTTTCTCTATTTTGTTATATAATCTCTACTGTAGTAGTATTTTTTTTTTATCTTACGAATATATCCTAAGGGGCAATGGTGATGAATTCTCCAGACTGACACCTTGGCTGCAGAGCTACAGGAAGCCTGTACATCTGCAACCAGCTTGTGACATCCAGGCTGCATCCAGCAAGAGAGCTGCGAGAACAGAGCAAGGCTTTGCTTGCCCCGTGAGAGGAGGGCAATGAGTTTCCCCTCCTGTTTCAAGGGGCAAACGCAGGAGAAACACCACGAATGAAGACTTCTCTGGCACGAGGAACCCGTGCACAAACTTGCTATGCTGCCAGTTGTGAGGGTCCATGCAGTTGTGAGGGCTCTGCGCAGCAAGGATTAATGACAGAGAGAGAAATCATCAGCCCAAAATAGCCTTAAAAACACCTGCAGAGCCGTCACCACCAGCGCTGCTCCCTGAAGAAGATGCACTCGCTCAAGTCTGACTAACACCATATAGGTCTGCAGCAAACTGGATAAATACTGCTCACGAGCATCATTTATAATTGAATGATGCCTGTAATCCTCTTTGGCAGAAATAAATAGGTAACTATCACGCTAATTGCAAGGGGAAAATAAATACAGGAATATCATGATGCAGTTTCTATGCTAAGAGAGCTCCCACCATAGGGGAAGTGCGGGATGAAGGTGAGAGGAGGAAGCAAAGACTCTGCTTGTCAGAACCTTTGGGTGCCTTCAGGTGCATGTGCCAAATCTGGGCTTGACTTTAATGCAGTGAATGAAAGCAGCACTTCACCATGTAGGAAAAGGTCCTGCCCAAGCAGCCTCGCTCTGCAGTCACAAATGGGGACGTTCTTCACGCGAAGCCGCGGTGGAAATCGTTACCCTGGGCAGGCTGCACTTAGCTACGGCTCCCGCTTCGCCGCGACCGAGCGCTGGTTCCTTCCCATGGTTGATCAGGCACAAACTTCTCGACACCGGCGTTAGCACCTTTCAGCAGTGCCACTGGCTGCAGCCTGCTCGGAAGAGTGTAATGCAATCATACATCATATATACAAGTTTTTAATGCTTTTAACTGCGGAAGAGCAAAGTTCCCACAACGCACGGAGCAGGAGCATGATTGGAGGATGGACAACACCAAAGCCGCATGGATCACGCTTGTAGGATGTGAAGATGGACTCTGTAGGGCAAGGGGTTATTTACTCTGCAGGGAGCCACTGTGTTACGGCACTTCTGAGCTCAGAATGGCCTAAAGAGTTAAAAGATGAGTTCACATCTTCTGTCATTCATTCTACATCAAGGAGCGGAAGCTCTCTGCTCTGATTATTTTACAGAATAAGCCCAGAGTTTCTCCAAGCCTCTGTTTTTACAAAAAATAGCAAAATTGTTAAGTGCTATAATCTGTATCGCCTGCTATAATTTAAACTACTGCCAAGATCACATAAGCAAACCATGGCCGATGCTTCTGCTGGTATCCCTTCGATAAAGCGCAACAACAAAAACAACAAACCGGCAAAACCTTTTGAGCTATCTAACGCACAGCAAACCATGGCCGATGCTTCTGCTGGAATCCCTTCTAGAAAGCACAACAACAACAACAAACCGGCAAAATCTTTTGAGCTATCTAACGCATGAGCTGTGTTCAGATTTGGGTTTGCAATGAATTTTGTGAGAAAACTAAAGATAACAAGAAAAAAGCTGGGGATGCTGCCCCAGCTATCTCCAAGGCAGCAAGAAGGGCCATACAGCTAAACCAAATCTTAGGCTGGAGAGCCCTGCCCAAGGGCAAAGGCTCCCCCCGCTCTCCTGTGCCCCCTTCCCATTGCTCTGGGCAGCCTCTCCAAAAACCAGGTTTTCCTTCCATTAACCAACAGGGCAATGGCCAGGGCAGCACCACAGAGCTCTCTGACGATCACCCATAAGAGCTACCTTGCTAGAAATAGGCAAAAAATAATAGCTTGAACCACCCCGATACGAGGACTGTGCTTTCCTTTTAAAAATATGCTTAAATAGGTCTGCTGCATTGAGGAAAAGGGTGTGGGGAGAAAAAAAAAAGGAAGAAAAACCTTCCATTCTGAGCAATATGAAATACAAATTTCTCCCTCATCTCTACCTAAAAAACTCTGGCATTTAGACTTATTAAACTGTCATAAATTTGCAGCAGCTGCTTTCAAGCTCATTAAATGGGCTCACAGACAGTACTGCAAAGCATTTCAGAAGCAAGGAGAACGCCACAGTTGGCTATACCGAAAGGCAAAATGACATGCATTTTGTGCGAGTGAGAGGAAAATGAATGGCAACAATTTTGTGATCCACTACCTGAGCCCTTCCTCTCAGAATAGTGATATAATTTACTTTTCTCTCCCACTGCAACATTTGGCCCTTGACTTGGAAACTAAATCTTCAATCTATCAAGGCTTACCCATCTG